CGTATGCCCACGGTAGACCCACGCAACAGCCACGGTATGCCCACGGTAGACCCACGCAACAGCCGTTTTATGCCCACGGTAGACCCACGCAACAGCCACGGTATGCCCACGGTAGATCCACGCAACAGCCACAGTATGCCCACGGTAGATCCACGCAACAGCCGCGGTATGCCCACGGTTGATCCACGCAACAGCCACGGTATGCCCACGGTAGATCCACGCAACAGCCACGGTATGCCCACGGTAGATCCGCCCAACCGCCACGGTATGCCCACGGTAGACCAGTTTTAGAACCAATTTTAGAACTATTTATATAAGCAGTTTTAGCACCACTTTTAGAAGCAGTTTTAGCTCCAGTTTTAGAACCATTTTTAGCACCAATTTTAGAATAATTTTTAGAAACATTTTTAGCACCAGTTTTAGAACCATTTTTATAAACAGTATTAGAATCAGTTTTGCAACTATTTTGAGCAGCAGTTTTAGCTTCAGTTTTTGAACCACTTTTAGCACCAGCTTTAGCACCAATTTTAGAACAATTTTTAGAAACATTTTTAGAAACACATTTAGAAGTATGTTTAGCACCAGTTTTAGAACCATTTTTATCAGCAGTTTTAGCACAAGTTTTAGAATTATTTTTATAAACAGTTTTAGCACCAGGTTTAGAAACATTTTTAGCACCAGTTTTAAAACTATTTTTAGCATCAGCTTTCGCACCTGGTTTAGAACCATTTTTAGAAGCAGTTTTAGCACCAATTTTAGTAATATTTTTAGCATCCACTTTAGTACCAGGTTTAGAACCATTTTTAGAAGGAGTTTTAGTACCAGTTTTAGATCCATTTGTAGAAGCAGTTTTAGAACCATTTTTAGATGCAGTTATAGCACAAGTTTTATAACCATTTTTAGCAGCAGTTACAGCACCAGTTTTATAACCATTTTTAGTAGCAGTTTTACCACCAGTTTTAGAACTATTTTTAGCACCAGTTTTAGCAGCAGTTTTAGAACCATTTTTATAAACAGTTTTAGTAATAGTTAATCTTAATCAATCTAAAATCAATCAATCTTAATCAATCTAAAAAAATCAGTTCTAAAACTGGTGCTAAAACTGTTTTTAAAAATGGTTCTAAAACTGTTGCTAAAAATGCTTCTGAAAACGGTTCTAAAACTTGTGCTAAAACTGCTGCTAAAAATGGTTTTAAAACTAGTGCCAAAACTGCTTCTAAAAATGGTTCTAAAACAAATTTTGCACCAGTTTTAGTATTGTTATTTGAAACAGTTTTAGCATCAGTTCAAAGTATGGGGGAAAAAATAACTTTTTTCAAAATTTCTGAACTATGGGCAAAATATGGCGAACTATGGGTGGAAAAAAATTACACAGGCATGAATTTCGCTCTTTTTCATGCTTTCGTGGCGGGGCAGAAATCGCATTTTTTGATTGATTAAGTGTAGCGGGAATAAAATGCTCGCTAGGAGCAGAAAGTAATGGCAGACAGGGAGAGAAATACAACACGAGTCTTCTTGACCGACCAATTTTTTATTCTTATTATTTGGTTTTTCTATAGTCGGGACCGAGGCGCTGCCCCTGGTTCCAGGTGATTATATTTATATTTTGCCGCGAAACTCCTACCTTTGTGGTAAAAAATATCGTGTGTGTCACGGGAAAGAAGCTTTTTTTTACTTGTGTGAAGTTTTTCGCCCGAGCCGAAGAAAAACCAATTTTCTGTCCTTGTCGCACAATATACTATTTTCTAACACACGCACCGAAAGTACACCATTACTTACCTGTGTAACGGGAGAAAAATATGTATTTTCCGACGAGTGGTAATGAAAAATAAAAAAAAAATATTTATGTTTATTGGCCCATAAAGATGATAAAAATGTTTTAAAAATTTTTTCGCTCAATTCAATAATAGAGAAATGTAAAAACTTATAGTTTTTAATTTTTTACGTAATTATTAAAATTAACAAAAATTTTGACGTTACAAAAAAAAATTTTTGCAAAAAAAAAATTGATTCTGAAATCAATCCAAAAATTGATTCCAGAATCAATTTCTTTTGTATAATTCAATAAAATTAGAGAATTCATTATTTTTCAAATTAAAAATTTGATACAAAAAATTTGTCAAAAAAAAATTAGAAAAGTTTGTTGTTTGACAGTAAGCGCCAATAGATGGCAGCTTTTTTCAGACGTTTTTTTTAATGAATTTTATTATTAATTAAATTTAAAAAGATGATAAAAATGTTTTAAAAATTTTTCGCTCAATTAAATAATAGAAAAATGGAAAATCTCATAGTTTTTAATTATTTACGTAATTATTAAAATTAACAAAAATTTTGACGTTCCAAAAAAATTATTCTGAAATCAATCAAAAGATTCATTCCAGAATCAATTTTTCTTTTTTAATCTAATAAAATTAGTGATTTTATTATTTAAAAAAAAAAATCAATTTTTTTTAATAAAATTTATTAATTAATTGATGAATTTTTTTATTTATTTTTATTATTTAGTTTTAAATCATTATTTATTCAGGTGTTAGTAATTTTTTTTTAACTATAAAATGTATACAAGTTAACCCTACTTAACCTGGAATGTTTTTTTTAAATTATTTTTTCTCTACTTACCTTGAGTTAAACAAATCGAAGAAAACATTTGGTATTCCATTTTAGGTTATTTTTCTACACTCACTTCACTTTTTATTTTACATTTAATTTTTTAATTTAATAATTTTGTAAACATTTTCTGTTTACATTTTCAAATTAAAAAAAGAAAATTTCTAGTGACTTTCTCTTAAACTAACCAATCACAACATTTCTTTCAATCGGAAGTCATCCATTTGTTTTTTCACGGAATGCATTACGGATAACCAAAAAACGTAAAAAATATCTTTATTTTTATAAATTTGTAAAAATTTTTTTTTTAATTTTTAACCAAATAGTCCCTCTTAGAATTTTGTCTAGTTTTCTGTGACAAGAGGTTGTTCACATATTATAAATCACCCTGTATCAAAGGATTTTGAAATTCACCGCGTGACTTAATGCGTTGCAAAGACTTGAATTTGAATCTCGTTAAGTTTGATAGAGAATCTAAATTCAAAGTTTCGTTTGTAATTTAGAATTATGAATTTCATTATAAGATTATATTTCAGTTCCGTATGTGTTCATGATTTTAGTTCGATTTGTTGGTAGTATTTTAATAGATCAACATTTTCATTGAACTATTCAGATGTTGATACTTTTGAAAACAATTGTGAAAAAGTTATCGAATTTCTCTCTAAAAAAAAAAATAGCAAAAGAAATTACTACTTGGTATAAAAATTTAAACAAAGGAAATGTAATATCCCATTTGTGTGGAAACAGAAAACTATATACTTCAGTAAAAGATATATAGTAAGGTTCTGAAATATTATTTTAGATATATATATACGTGTGGTTTCGTGTTCTGAGATGATCTGGAGAAAAATTTGTTCGATAAATAATAAGTTATAGTAGAAATAAATATGGTTATGGTTTGTGTGTCGGAATTTTTTTTTTTTTCCTTGAAAATTCATGTTTTCTTTTCTACAAATACACTTTTGTTATTTATCTTCTTTTTCTTTTTTGATGCTTTAATATAAATATATATATATATATATATATATATGCACTTTCTGTAATTTTCAAAGATTTTTTCAGAAAAAAAATTGACGAAAATTTAAGCAACTAATTTTTTTTCCCTCTCAACTCGTGAAAAATGCAACAGCCTCGCACAGCTTGCAAATTTTTATGACATAAAAATTTTACTCGAAGCATGAATCTAGTTTCTATGGAGTCGATGTCAGATCCAATTTTAAAATTTATATTTTTCAAAAATGTTGTGTGACTTATTTTCCTTTTGTGATCCTAAGTGAATAAAATGAAAATGATGTTTGGAAAATGTTTATTTTTGTGATTCAAATTCGAATTTTTAGGGAATGCTTTTTTGATATGTATTGTATATAATGTGTAATTATTTTACTACACAATTTATATACAAAGGTGATAATGGTTAAAAGTGTCTTTTATTCATTCTCCTCGTAATTTTGTTTTTCTTTTTTTCGTAATTTTAATAAAAACGTTCAGTGATTTTCTGTGCATCAGTGTTCAACGCTGTGTGTTATTTTCATTTCAGCACACGCTAATGCATGAGTCATGTTAACTGATGCTATCGCAAGTGTTATAAAATTTACGAGCAGTTTGTGGATCCAAGCTTAAAATTGCATTCTATCTTCTTTTTGTATAATGATATATCATGCGGGAATAATATAGGTTGATATGCAAATGCATTGTTATTGTATATATATATATCTATGTATACTCTCTCTTGCCTGCTGACTTTGATAATTTAGATTAAAAATTTTAGGTTCAATGCTTTTATGATTCATTGAAAATATATATTTTTCTAATGATCAATTGTCATGTATTTTGAATTAAATATAAAAATTCAATTGTTATTATACTTTGAATAAACATTCATATTTTGAATATACATTAAATTATATAAAAAAAATAAGTGGGTAAATAATTGTATATATTTTTTTTTTTCTCTATTGAAAAAAATAAATGTATAATGAAAAAGAAATGAAAAGATTTTATTGGAAAATGATAACGAAGAGGAACTAGAAAATTGACAAAGGGAGAAATATTGAGGTTCACCCTAAAATCACATTTCTAGCTCTTTCTGGACGATCCATGGTCGATCCATTATTCAGTAGCGTATATGTCGATTTTCTGATTTTTATAGAGGGAAAAGCACATTGGTATTTGGATGAGAAAAATTTAAGATCGACTTATTGAATTCACTAAAGTAAAATGATGTGACTTATAAAAGAAATAAAAATATTTTTTGATAAATAATTACAAATTCTATAGAATATTTTATAAAATATACATAATTATTTTTCTTTACGAACTGAGTTATATATTAAATAATTTTATCTTCTTTATTTTTACATGCTTTTTCCTGTTGGTTAGTTTAATCAGATGTAGAAAATAATTTTTAGCTCTTTTTTTTTTTTTATTATGCACATTTATTTTTTATTTCAGTTTGTGAAAAATTGTTGTTTGAAATTAAACAAACCTCACTACATACAAATGAAACTCATGCATATCAAGCAGTCTTGTCGTTGTTTTGAAAATATCGTTTGTCACTTTGATAAAAAGTTGTAAAAAGCATACATATTGTATGCATGTTAAGTTTAAAACAAAAAAAAATTTTTTTTAAATTAATTATGCGTTGAAAAATTTTATTAAAATAAAAATTTATAATTTTTTATAAAAGAAAAAATTTTTTTTGGAATTAGGAAAATAAGGAAAGAGAATATTGACATTAAACGGATATCATATTGTAAGGAAAATGCAATTCTTTTTTCGCGCGTGAAAGATTCGAGTGTTCATCATCGTATCTAGAAACTTCGCTACAACGAATTTCCATTTAGAGAGTCTTCGATACGCGACCTCAAAGATCGTTGACAGGGATGAAACTTGGAATTGTCTCAGTTTTTCAAAAGAAATGTTTTAGTGTTTCTTTTAGCTTATTTTCTATTTGGAATATAAATATTTATTGTGAATTTTTTTTTTTTATTATATTCAATTATTGATTAATCAACGTCTAATTTTCTGAATGAGCCATACGTTCCAAAGAGATCATCAGGATTTATCATTGGTTCAGCTCTTAGAGATTCATCAGTGAGAACTTGTTCCTCTTTTAAAAACCAATCTCGTAGATCTATTAATTTTTCTTGCCATTTTTCTAAATTAAATATTAAAATTATGAAAGAATTGTTAAATGATATAATTGATTCAAACTCACTTGCTAAATCGTCTATTTGCATTTCCTCGCCACCATAGTCAGTAGGTAAAATAGATTTTGGTATAAAATCATAAAGTGATTCGTAAGTTGAATGAACATGAACCTGTGAAAGTAGAAAATTAATAATTAAAATTATAATCATTTTTGTGATTTTGATAAATTTCCAATGAGATATGTATATCTCTACTGTTAAAGTTTTGAAAATGTAATTTTCGTCTAGGCCATTAACCAAGCCATCGATACCGGGAAAATCAGCCGAGCTATTAAATTTAACCAGGCGAGCCACGAGCGGTTCGAGCCATCAGATGGGGTCACCCTAACGTATACATATAAATGAAGCGCGAAATCGGGATTTTCAAGCATGATAACCGTAAATTTATAAAGAAGATACAAATTATTATTTATTTTTCTATAATATTTATTTGTTGAATCAAAAAAAAAAATTCTTACTCTTTCTGCTAGTTTTGGTTTTATTGATGATTTCACTAAATTTACCAAACGATCAACAAAATTTGGCGCATTGATAAAATGAATTCCAACAATTTTTGCAGCATAGGCTTTCTGTAATTAAAAAAAATAATAATAATATCAATTTTTGGGATATTTTCTAAAATTCTCTATATATATAATAGATTTCCTTAATCTAAGTGGAGCTTTTGAATATTTGAACGATAAAATGAATATTGATGAGAACATAGTCACAAGAGATAAGTTGGATGAAATATGAGATGTTGGTCTAGAAAGTGAATACAGTTTGCTGCTTCAATATGTGTGCAATACATAAATGTGTATATGTTATACAATATAGATGAGAGGTAGAGACGTTTTCAATTTTTCATTGAGTCGATAATACCGTTTTCAAAAAAAAAAATCTGCATATTTTGCAAATATAGAGGAAACCCGCATGGTGTTATAAACTCACCCTGGCAGTTACTTCACACTTTTTTAGTATTGTTGGCGTAAGTTTGGCGAGACGGCCCAGTCGTACTCCTGAAAGGTCATAAATGTAGATATCCCCCAGGCTACGACATTCTGAAATGCGTACATCGCCAATCATAAAAGAATATCTGAAACCGAGATTTTCATTTTTGAATATCATTTTTCAATAATAATGTTTGATTAGAAAATTTTTAGAAAAATACCAAAAACTTACTTAAACATTTCCCAGGGATTGTAAATTACATCGTCAGTGTCTATAGTTTTTAGAATGCTGACTCTGTATTTTTCGGATGTTAATTTTGGTAGAGCGACCCATTTTCTGCAAATTGTATAATCAATATAAATGAATTTTTCTTTCTTTATGCAATTTCTACTGTTGATGATGAGAAATTTTGAAATAATTACAGGGTGTCTAATAACTCTTTATGTCAGGAAAAAGTCATGGTATTGATTTTTTGTATATGGAAAAGTCATTTTGATTTCTAATTTTCTAATTTATGATTTCTAATTTTCAAAATTTTTTCTTTACACAAAAATAGAACAAAAACTGCGCCATTTTAAAAGTCTTCACTAGTTGTACGGAAAAATAGAGCAAAAACAGCGGCATTTTAATTTCTGCATTAGTTGTACGGAAAAATAGGACAAAATCGCGGTGCCACTTTAATTTCTGCACTACTTTTTTTTTTTTGAAAAATTAAATCAGAAAATAAAATGGCATTGATTTTGTTGTATTTTTTCGTACAACTAGTGCAGAAATTAAAATGGCACCGTTTCTGCTCTATTTTTTGTAAAAAAAATAGACCTTTAAATGGCGGCAATTTAATTTCTGCTTTACTTTTTCGTGAAAATAGACAAAAAATGGCGCCATTTTAATTTCTGCACTAGATGTACGGAAAAATAGAGCAAAAAAAGCACAACTTAAATTTCTGCCCTATTTTTTTTTTTTGAAGAATCATATCAGAAATTAAAATGGCACCGATTTTGTTCTATTTTTCCGTACAACTAGTGCATAAATTGAAATGGCGCCGTTTCTGCTCTAGTTTTTTGTAATAGTAGACCAAAAACTGCGCCATTTTAATTTCTGCACTAGTTGTACGGAAAAATAGAGCAAAAAAAGCGCTATTTTAATTTCTGCCCTATTTTTTTTTTTTTTTTTTGAAAAATTAGATCAGAAATTAAAATGGCACCGTTTCTGCTTTATTTTTAATTAAAAAAATAGACCTTAAAATGGCGGCAATTTAATTTCTGCTCTATTTTTTCGTGAAAACGCGGGTAGAAATTTTGTCATGGTCCAAACCTGGGCCAAGTGGGGTGTTTATAAATTGGCATGAAACGCTTTATCCGATTTGGGCCACAAGATAAAGCCACATTTTGACGCTTTCCAGGTCTGGCCTATATTGGGTGAGGCGTTTCAAGCCATTTGTGGGCCAAATATGGCAATTTCTACACGGGAATAGACAAAAAATAGCGCCATTTTAATTTCTGCATTAGTTGTACGGATAAATAGAGCAAAAAAAGCAACACTTTAATTTCTGCACTATTTTTTTTTTTTTTTTTTTTGAAGAATCATATCAGAAATTAAAATGGCACCGATTTTGTTCTATTTTTCAGTAAAACTGGAGCACAAATTAAATGGCGCCGTTTTTTGTCTATTTTTACAGAAAACTAGAGCAAAAACTGCGACATTTTAATTTCTGCTCTAGTTTTACGGAAATATAGTGCAAGAACGGCGCCATTTTATTATTTGCACTATTTTTACGGAAAAATATTGCAAAATGGCGCCACTTTAATTTCTGCACTACTTATTTTTTGAAAAATTAAATCGGAAATTAAAATGGCGCCGATTTTGTTATATTTTTCCGTACAACTAGTGCATAAATTAAAAAGGCGCAGTTTCTGCTCTATTTTTTGTAAAAAAAAGCGTCATTTTAATTTCTGCAAAAAATAGACCAAAAATGGCAAAAATTTCTGCACTACTTGTACGGAAAAATAGAGCAAAAAAAGCGCCACTTTAATTTCTGCCCTATTTTTTTTTTTTTTTGAAAAATTTGATCAGAAATTAAAATTTATATTGTTCAGTAAAACTAGAGCAGAAATTAAAGTGGCACCCTTTTTGCAATATTTTTACGAAAAAAGTAGAGCAAAAACTGCGCCATTTTTTATTTCTGCTCTAGTTTTACGTGAAAAATAGAGCAAAAACCGTGCCATTTTAATTTTTGCAAATGGGTGTATGATTTGGCGTGGAATACATTATATATTAAGTTACCATATTTAATAATATATTAGGGAAACCTAGTCATAGGAAATGTCAGGGAATTGTTCTTTCGTAATTTTTTATATAGACACTCTGAATTATTTTTGTTTAAAGACAATTTTTTTTCTAAATATTGAACAAAAATTTTGTATGCATCAAACATACACAATTTGAAGGACATCAGATATTCCCGATCCCATGGGATCTCGATTTGTAAAAAGTTCAGGCACCAAACGTCTTATGGAGTAGTACATGTCGAGTTTTTGTTTTGCTTGCTCCAGGCTCATTTTTGTATTCAACAGAAAACATTCTAGAGTTGTATCAGGAATTTCTAAAAAAAAAAAAAAAAAATAACAAGATTTTTATTTCCAATTTAGGATCAGAATTTAGAAAAAATTTAATAACCTTGAGGAAGATGCAAATGTGCTTTGATCCAGTCTTTTAATTTTTCACGAAGTTCTTCTAATTCCTCATAATTTCTCCCTAGGAATGAACACTTTTCTTCTAAACTGCATGATTCCAATGTTAGTGCCATATTGTTGTTTGTAATTTTAAATTTAAATTCTTATTGGAATTGTAACTATTTTGTTATTTATTATTTTTATCAAAGTACTACAAGTAAGATATCTTGTACAGAAAAAGTTTTTCCACAAATATCCTTTTTACCGCGGAAAGTCAATTTTTCATTCGAATAGTCATTGAAAACTATAAGTTCACTTACACACCTTTTTTTTTTTTTTTGTTTTGAAACACGATGCACAATTGAGTATCAAAGTTTCTGCACAAGTATCATTGGAGATAGCTTCTTTGTCGAGTTTTCAACAAGACTGTCAGTTCTATGCCCAAGTTTCTTCTTTGTATTAAGCGAAAGTATTGCACACACACACACAAGTAACGAATTCAATTCACGATCAAATAAGAGATTCTTGTGCGTGATCGCGATTTCAATTGTTAAGTTAATTACATTTTCACAAGGTAAACGATTTTTTCAAAACAAAGTTACGGTTTATGATTATTCTTATGGGTAACAATTAAAAATTTTTAAAATTATTTAAAAAATTTTATATGATTCAAATAATCGACTTGAAATAAATATTTATTTGATAATAGTCGATTATTTGAAGTAAATAAATTTCTTTTTCATTGTAGGTACTTATTAATTAAAATTGTTGTCAGTTTAATGTTCAGGCAAAGGAGATTATTTGTAAACGATGCATTCTGTGTGTGTGTGTTATCCGATGTACTTTCCGTGTTTTACTTTGGTGGGTTAGAAAGGTGAAATTTATTTTCTTAGAAAATAGTTGGTTCGACCCTAGGCTTCTATGTAATTATGTAAAAAATATGCAAATAGAAATTGCATAGAAAAATCCATTTATGAGTCAGAGGGATAGGAGAGGAGAGAGAGAGAGAGAAAGAGAGAGATACGGGATTCCGGTGTAATGAAAAAAGTGCGGAAATTATGCTAATGCAATAATGCATGCAAAACGAGTCGAGCACCGGTTAACTTTCTGAAATCGATATGCTCCTCTTGCATCTTTTGTTTCAGTTACGACCAACCACTTCTCTCCCTGTGTCAAGATTTTAATTAGCCATTGTTTTCTCCTGTTTAAAGTTTCATCCTCTCGAGCAACTATTTTTCAAACAAATGGCTTGACACTCGGTTGCATCTAAGATGAAAAATAGTTTATATATTCTCCTCGAAATTATATGCCTTAAAATATTAATTATCGTATATATATGCCGTGGATATAATAAATTTATTTTTTTCTATCTAATTAGAGCAGGAAAATTACAATATTTATACAATTTTTGTTTGAAAAAGAAATGCATCTTTAATTAAAAAAAAAAAAGGAATTTGAATTCTTTTTTTTTTTAATGTGCATTATTAGTTTCGTTCAGTGCACTTGACCTACTCTCTGCGCGAAACGAAATAATTTCACTGAATCCATTTCACTTCTACAGCCAATGATCATGAAATGTGTTTGTATAGTTTCAAGTCGTGTGAAAGCGTATCTAGATAATAAAATTTATCGTGAACATTAATTAATTAAGGGAATGTAATTATCATGTTTCTTTTTTTTTTTTTTTTTAAATATAATTTATTCATGTTGAAAAAATCTGAAATTAAATATTTTATCGAGTTTTTCAAGTATAGATGAAGCACAAATCCGTAAAGTCAAAGTTCCACTTCCTCGATTGCAGTTGTCATTAAATTTATGTAAAATTAACTTCCCTTGCGTTGTACTGCATCAATTATTACAAAGTTTCTACACCTGTACTTATTATTAAAGTTTTGGAAAGTTTGTTGAAAAGCTCTTAAATAACTTATGCTTGATGAAAAATACATTTTCCAAAATGCCAACTTTATACTCATGTGTAAAATTATTCTAATTAGTGTATAATTGTTTTACAATGTTGATTGCTGTAATTATCACGGTGAAAAATGGAATTGTTGTGCAAACAATTTTGTCAGTAGATTTATTGATATTACAGTTCGAAATGTTAATATTACAATTCGGATTGTTGTCAATACAAATGTATGTTGTTTCAACAACAATACGAATTTTTTGTTGTCAGTTTTGTTCAGTTGCAGAAGCAAACTCTACTGTCGATTACTGATGGAACAATTCGGATTTGTACAGCTGATAGGTTTATTGTTCCATGTCACGTGGTCATCTTGAATTCTCGCAAACAGATCGTCGCGTCGTTTGCTTCTGGTACATGTGCCACTTTTGCTTTTATTATTAATTTAAAAAAAAAATGACAAAGTGTTGTTAAATAATGAATCTGGTTAAAGTGAAAAATCTATTGCAAGTGTAGTGAATGGATGAAGCTGCTTGTTCCATAGATTTTAATGCAAATGAAACTGGTGATATGACCTACGGAAATCTGCTATCGATTATTTTAGAAAGCGAAGAAACTGAACAAATTGTATTAGACGAATCAAAGTTTTGTTAATAGAACAAATTTTATTGCCGATTTAACAATTTAGTTTTGTTATTTCAATTGTTCCATAACAATTTTCTTTGTTCATTTACAACAACAATTTAGTTTTGTTATTTCAATTGTTCCATAACAATTTTCTTTGTTCATTTACAATTACAATTTAGTTTTGTTATTTCAATTGTTCCATAACAATTTTCTTTGTTCATTTACAACAACAATTTAGTTTTGTTATTTCAATTGTTCCATAACAATTTTCTTTGTTCATTTACAACAACAATTTAGTTTTGTTATTTCAATTGTTCCATAACAATTTTCTTTGTTCATTTACAACAACAATTTAGTTTTGTTATTTCAATTGTTCCTTAACAATTTTCTTTGTTCATTTACAACAATTTAGTTTTGTTATTTCAATTGTTCCATAACAATTTTCTTTGTTCATTTACAATTACAATTTAGTTTTGTTATTTCAATTGTTCCATAACAATTTTCTTTGTTCATTTACAACTACAATTTAGTTTTGTTATTTCAATTGTTCCATAACAATTTTCTTTGTTCATTTACAACTACAATTTAGTTTTGTTATTTTCAATTGTTCCATAACAATTTTCTTTGTTCATTTACAACTACAATTTAGTTTTGTTATTTCAATTGTTCCATAACAATTTTCTTTGTTCATTTACAACTACAATTTAGTTTTGTTATTTCAATTGTTCCATAACAATTTTCTTTGTTCATTTACAACTACAATTTAGTTTTGTTATTTCAATTGTTCCATAACAATTTTCTTTGTTCATCAAACAATTCTGTTTATATATGGAACAATCCCATTTTAATAATTTTTTTTTGTTCCAACAATAAATAGAACTGCTGATTCTATATTGACAATCCGGAATTGTTGTGTGGACTTAATTTTTAGTAACCACAATAATTCTTTTTTCTCCGTGATAAGAATTTAATTCTTCATGAATTCTTTTTTATTTTCTATACTAAAAATCAATAATGAAGATTGTCCATTCCTTTTTTATATACGAATTTAATTAATTAGAGAATTAGAAAGCTTATTAGGAAAAGTGTAATTAGGGAAAAATAATAATATTTGTTTGAAAATTGAATTTTTATAGTAGAAAAGTTGTGACATAGTTTCTGACATAGATCGAAGGGTGTTTGGCCTTAGAGGTTAATAGATGAGGGACGAACCCTCTTATATGAGGTCAGACACTGCATCACCTATTCCACGTTCAATGTTAGGAATGTAGACAAGAGCATCCATTATCTAATGGTTCCTCATTGTGAGCATTTTTTACATTGAAAATTCACAAGGAAATTGTTTATTTTCCAAGTCATTTTACTCCTTTAAAAAGTATTTTCCAAACTTCGATGAATTTTTATTCTCTCTCTCTCTCACATTAATATATATTTCCTATCTTATTCCGCTTTGAAATTTATAAAGAGATATGGAGGAGTAAAAAAAAAATCGAGTTGGAATTTATAGGGCATTCTCATTTAAAAAATATTTCCGATTTCAATTGAACCCTAAAAAAGAAAAAGACTTTTAGTTTAATTGAAATTCTTCTATAAAATTCATATTTTTAAAATGTTTTTAATAAAAGGTTTCTAAAGTTGCTTCCTTTTTAATATATATATAAAGTACCTGAAAAAAAAATACTCGACAGAATCAAAAACATTCCAAAAACTTATTCAATTTAGTAATAAAAAAAAAATGAAGTTTTCTGGAATGTTTCAATTTTGATTATATGCTTTAGTGTTTTCAAGTGGAAGGAATAAATTATAATGTATATATAAAAAATGTAATTTTTTTTTATATACCACAACCTTTTTTGTTATGTATAAAAAAGTTTCAACTGCAATGTGTTCCCTTACACTAGAGAACCAAAATTTCATCAAAGTTAACACTAAAGGGATATGAGGTCGTTTTTTTTTTTTTTTCTTTTTTTTTATAAAAAAAAAAACTTTTCCTTCATCTCGGTCGCATAAAAGTAATTAAGGTTGAACTCGGTGAGCGCAAAACCGCACATACCATCCTGACTTTGATGTAAAGTATAATCTACGACAGGGGCACTTTAGAGTAACATTATCACTATCTACAATCGAAGCTATAGATAATTTAATTATAAAAGTTATAGATTCTATTTTAATATATTGATATCAGAGAAAAATTTATTATATATTTTATCCAAATTTTTGTTTTAAATTGAAATTCGTGTTTTAAATTGTTTTTTTTTTTACTTTAATAATTTTTTCTTTTTTTTTTTGTTTCAGGAGTGTTGGAAAAATTCTTAAAATCGCTATCGTTTAATTCAGTAATTTAATTTTTTAATTTAAAACTTCGGGAGTGTTCGAAATTCTTAAAACCGCGAACGTTTTTATTGAAAAAAAAGTCTTAAATTTTTAAACGCGATTTCGGGAGTGTTCGAAATTTTTAAAATCGCGTGTGATTGTGAGCTGATTTTATCATCCGAATCATACCTCTATCACTGGATACATCGGCTGCAAGTTAAGGTTAGTGACATTTTTTTTAAATTAATAAATTGTTCTTCATTGTTGTAATTTAATTTTGAACATTAGATTAATTTTGTTTAAAAATTATAACAAAACTTTCTCGGTCTGGTAGACCGAGAAGGCACTAGAACGGGGGTTTTTTTTTGCACCTAGCATTAACAATTTTAATTTTTTTATCCATTTTTTCTGCTCTTTTAAATTTGAATTCTCAACAAATTTTTGGTGAATGAATTTTTGTTTCGATTTACCTACGTTTATAAATACACACATATAGGCGTATGTGTGTGTGTATTTAATGAAAATCGCGGTCGTATAAAATGTGCATTTGTGGAATGCCAGTAATTTGAACGTGTTAATG